TTGAAAAAACTCGATTTCGAGCCCAACCAAATCCAATCAGTCTAGTTTGATTTTGCAGCCAGCCGTTGGTCTTCTCAACTGGTTGCAAAACCAAACTGGGCTGATTGAATTCGGGTGGGCTCAAAATCAAGTTTTTCAATCCGTGAAATGTTGGCCGGTTTTATTGTTTCGATGGGTGGTAGTTCATGGCTTTAAAAATTTGAGATTTTGGACCTAAATTAAAATTCAAATATCCAATAAATTGGGACTATTTTTCTCACAGCACACGAGCAAAACCACATTTAATACTCCAAAATATCCTTCAAAATATCTCTATTATTTGGTTCCTGATAATCTGAAGAAAATAATAATATAAATAATATAAATAAATTAATCAAGTCAAATTCTCTTATCAATCAAATCCAACACTCATATTTTATATACATTTAATATAAATATAAATATATATTTACTTTATAAAAATCAAATAGCCCACCTTAATTTCTTAATTTAACCTTTAAATAAATTTGGGTATTACGGGTTCTGACCCGACCCAACTTGATAGAGTCGATTTTTTTTAAAACAAATTTGAGTTCGGATTGGGTCGGATTTAGGTGTAGGGTGAAAAAACCTCGACCCGACTCGAGGATAATAGTGTAATTTCTTTAAAAAATTATTTTTTAAAGTAAATCCTTATTTTATATCAGGTCGGGTCGGAGTCGGTGAAAGATATATATTTTTTGGGTTGGGTCGGGTCGAGTGGAGGATATAAAATTTTTAGATCGATCGGATTAGGATGGACGATGTAACACCCTAATCCAGTTAAACCCAAAGATCCCCGGATTACAATGTTATGTGGGACTACCGAAATAGTGACCCAAAAATTTCTTTAAAAAACTACTTATAGTTCACTGAAAAATAAATCAACCATAGTGATAAAATAAAATGTGATAATAACAAAGGTTTACAAATCGATGGAGAGTTCCCAAAATACATCCACAAAATACAAATATTGAGTACCAAATAAAGTTACAAATGAATACAAAAAGGGTCCATAATGGTACATGCCCTCTAAAGATGACTTAAGACATAGTCTGAAGGTCTCTGGAAATCTGGTCTAATGTACTGGAATATCTGATGACAATAACTCCCCACGAACTACCCCTAAGAACATGCACACGAAAACACACATTCCGAATACTGAGCTTAAAGCTCAGTGCCTCACTAATAATTGTATTATACTACATGTAACCATTAAATGAAGTGACTAGTGGCGCAGGTCTGAAACATGCAACTACTGAACTACTGTCTGTGGATGACATCATGGTGCGACTGAGGGATCTGTATCTCGGAGCTCACACACCCCTCTAGCACTATTGGTATACTCTCGGTACACCAGGGTGAGATCCGGAATCTACATCAAAAACATACATCTGCCAACTTACTACGTCGAGTCTTGGCGCATCTACCCCAGTCGACTACTGAAGTGCTTTGGTACTGACTTGGATATCCACTGATTGTCGTATTATGCTAAGAAGGAACTCGGGTGTCTTGGTTATTTTCCGAGCGTCAAACAAGGCTAGTTTTATGTGACCTAGCTATTACCGTTTCTATTGTTATGATATTAGTTATTGTTATCACTTGAAGTCTTATTTGGTGTTATTCTGAGTTTATGGGGCACCTCAACTCTAATCCCTTAATCCTTGAATTATTTATCTAAATCTATTCGTGGGTACCAATACTGACCCTTCAGTATCAATACTAGACTTTTGTTCCCACCTGTTGGTATTGATACCCCCTGACTAACGTGACTTTTTTATTAAGGCAATATCGATACTCTAGGGTAAGTATCGATACTCTGGTGCTGGGGTATCGATACTTGGTTGAGTATCGATACCAAATTTTGGTTTGATGTTTTGAAAAATACTCCAACATCGATACCCCTATGGGGAGTATCTATACTTCTGCCCTGGTATCGATACACAATGAATGAGTATCGATATTACCCTTATAAAAATGCATATTTCATGCCTGAATGATGAACAATATTGATATTGTTCTTACAATATCGATACTGTCACTACTGGGTGCTCTGTTTTCGCACGAAAATCCCTTCTTTCTACCCTAAATACCCATTGAGGTCCCCGATTGATGCTTAAATATTTTATTTGATATTAGGGGTCATAAAGAGTCTGTAAGAATACTGAAAACACTCAAATAATGCAATCTACCGTGATCATGCTTCAGGTTTAGACACATACACAACTCTCACTTAATGAACTACATGTGGTATAGATAAGTTAAGAGTGAGTTACCTTGAGTGTATATACTGCTAGAAGTGCTCAAAGCTTAGCCCAAGGTAAGTTTATATTTCTTTCTAGCTTGGGAGCTTTCTCCACCCTCTCTCCCTAAGCAAGAATCAATGAATAAGGGTTAGCTGAATGTAGAGGTTTAGGAGTCTGTAAAAACATTTCCTAAACTTATAAAGCTCTGGAAATGAATTAAAATCTATAGGTTGGTTTAAACCCTCAAAACCCATTTTTTAAAACCATGGCCAAACTTTGATCTTGAGGTCTCAAAAGGAAGCTCTAGAGGTGCTGAGTTTGGTTCTTACCTTTAGAATGTTGATTGGGTTCTGAAAATGATAAAGTTTTTCCCTTTAATCTTTAGAGAGAGAAGAAGAATGGGTTGAAGAAGAAGAGAATGGGACAAGCCTTGTGAAGAAGAAGGGGACAAATAACATACATGATCTCACCAAGTTTTAAATTATTTTCAACTTTATTTTTGAACTATGGTATAATTACCTCATTGGTCTCTCTGATTCTGACTGCAGATTAAAACACCCATTTTTAATCTCTATTGGGCTTTACTCAAGCCCAAATCCACCTCAAATTAGGTTAAATCTTCCTACAAGTTGGAGGCTTAATCCAAGGCCTATCTCGGGTTAGCCCAAATCTCTTAGCCCAGGATCCGGGGCGTTACAGAAGGTACATATTTTCAAGTAGGTCGGGTTGACCAGAAACCTGACTCTAACCCAAGCCGTTGTCATCCCTACATTTAAACGTTACAAGTCTTATTGCCCCATTTAAACATAAAATATTAAATTAAAGTACTTTAAAAACAAAATAAAATTCAAAATGATATTTATAAATGTTGAGATTACTTTTTTGATGTTAAGGCATTTGAAAAAGGAAATTTTTACAACACTCGACGAGCACTGATGAACATCATCACTAATGATGAGTATCATTAATTTAATTTATAAAAATTTAAAATTCTAAAGGACTCAATGTATAATTATAAATTAGTTAAAAATTAAAGGTAAATTATTTAAAATAAAGGGTAAACTATACCAATGACCACCTAACTATTACCCCTTTTCATTTTGACCACCATTTTTGAAATTTTGTCAATCAGGTCACTCAACTATTTAAATGCATTAAATTAAGCCACTTGTAGTTAATATTTAATGGAGAAACTGATGTGACAGTTGGTATAATTACACATTTGATCATTGCTACTTATATATTCTATCAATTTGGTCGTAATTTTAATTTATTAAAATTAAATATTATATAAAATTATTAGATATATTTATAATTTTATTTTTTATAAAATTATTTTGAGAATAAAGTATTGATTAAATTATAAAAAATAAAGAATAGATTTTAGGATAGAATTTACAAAAAGAATTGCAATAAAAGTTCAATTTGAATAAAATATAGGGTAAATTAGATATTTAGTCACCTAATTATTCATGTGGTTTCGTTTTAGTCACCAAACTATTTTTTTTCAAAATCATCACTAACATTACGTTTTTGGTTTCATTTTGATCAATAACCGTTAAAAATTAACTGTAATGTTAACATGTCACCATAAGGTAATATCAGATTATCATTGAAAAATAAAAAAAAAATGTCAAGTCAATAGTTCTGTTAATTTTTAACAATAGATGATCAAAATAAAATCAAAACCTAACATTAGTGAAGATTTTGAAAAACAAATAATTAGATAACCTAACATAACCAAAATTATAGTTAAGTGATTAAATACATAATTAATATATTTTTAGTTTAGAAACTTTCTCTACCCGTGATAAGATAAAAGCTTTTAAAATTCATATTAATTTGGAGTAAGCACAAGATGATATATGTTCTAAGATAACTCTCAACCATTTGACCGCAACTCATAATCCATAAAATTAAATGATTTACAATGATAACTTTTTTATTATTATATATTTCTTTTCTTTTCTTTATTATTATTATTATTATTATTATTATTATCTTAATTCATTTTTTGTGACGATATAATTTCTAATAATTTTATAAAGTACATAATGGACATATTACATTTAAGTAAATATAAAAACTGTTGTTGAATCAATATTTTTATATCGAAAGATATAGCGATTGAATTGATATGATAAAATAAAATCAATTATTTTTATTTTAATTTATTAAAATTATGACCAAATTGACATAATATATAAGTAACAGTGACCAAATGTGTAATTATACCAAATATTTTAACTATCACATGAGCTTATCTGTTAAATATTAACTGTAAGTGACTTAATTGAATGCATTTAAATAAATGAGTAATATGATTGATAAAATTTCAAAAATTATGGTCAAAATGAAAATGGACAATAATTTGATAGTTATAGTTTACCCTTTATTTTAAATAATTTAACTTTAACTTTTTAACTAATTTATAAATATAGGTTAAACTTTTAAATAATTTTTTATAAATTAAATTAATAATATTCATCGTTAATAATAATCATCGTGTTAATATAGCTTAAAGAGTCATCTTTTGGAAAATATGCTTCAATATTCGAAGTAAAGAATAACATACATAATTTTACTTATAATTTTAGAAGGGGGAAAAAGAAAAACTAAACTAAAATATTCAATTTCTATGGCAAATAATTGAATTTTGTTTGGGTGGTTTCCTGCCCTCTTCTTATATAAAAGCACCAATAACTCGTTTCAACGCTAAATCCTCGCACCGACACCCAAACCACAAAAATATGCGGTAGATTTCCATTTTTTATGATATTCTTTTAAGTCTCATCTCTATAAATTCTTCTTTAGAAACTTTTCTTCATTGTCAAGAACTTCCGATATTCACGTTCCCTTTTCCATTCACAGGTCAATGTCTCTCCTTTTTCTATTTTCTTTTACTGTTACAGATCTGATTGTTTTCTTGCTCATTGTATCACATTTTCTTTTATTATATGGACGTTTCTACTTAATTTCAATATTTCTATTTTTTTTTTATTTCTGGTTGTTTAATTGATTGGAAGCACTGGGTTGATTGCATTTGAATCACTTATTTCTTTTCGGTTTTCCATCTATGCTTTGGATTAACGCGTTTGGTTTTCTTCTTAATTCATAGTGTTTTTTTTTAATTTTTTATCCAAGCTCTCATTCTCTGTCTCTCGTATCTGTCTGGAAAACAAAATGAAAGAGCAATTCCTGAAAATTTCCGTGCTTGGTATTGTTTGGTTTCCAAGAATCCGCAAGAAAAAAGGGTTATAAATTTGAGTGCCCCATCGTTTTATTGATTTACCCTCAAAATCAGTAAAAATCCCCTTTCTTGAAATTGTTTAGTAACGAGTTTAGGGAAAATACTGTACTAACTGCAATTTAATTAAAAAAATTTAAAAATTGTGCAGATCTTTGTTGTTGAACCTGCTGCATCTATGACTACGGCTAATGGTAATGCTCCACAAGTGGCCAACAATGGCGATGCAGGCAAACCCTTCAACATTTTCATTGGTTATGATCCGCGTGAAGATGTAGCATATGAGGTATGTCACCATTCTATCCTGAAACGTACTTCCATTCCTGTTGAGATCACACCCCTTGTTCAATCAGATCTTAGGCAGAAAGGCCTTTATTGGCGCCAAAGGGATCAGTTCGAGAGCACCGAGTTCTCCTTCTCGCGGTTCCTAACACCCCACTTGGCGAATTATGAAGGCTGGGCAATGTTTGTTGACTGTGATTTCCTTTACTTAGCTGATATCAAGGAGTTAAAGGATTTGGTTGATGACAAGTACGCAGTCATGTGTGTTCATCACGATTATTCCCCGAAAGAGAAAACAAAGATGGATGGTGCTGTGCAGACTGTTTATCCCAGGAAGAATTGGTCTTCTATGGTGCTATATAATTGTGGTCATCCAAAGAACAAAGGGTTGACACCAGAGGTTGTCAACAACCAAACCGGCGCTTTTCTTCACAGGTTCCAGTGGCTCGAAGACAGTGAAATCGGGTCGGTCTCGTTTGTTTGGAATTTCCTCGAGGGGCACAACAAGGTCGATGGGAACAACCCCAATACGTTTCCGAAAGCCATACATTATACTCGCGGAGGACCATGGTTCGAGGCATGGAAGAATTGTGAGTTTGCTGATCTTTGGCTGAAAGAGATGGAAGAGTGCATGAAAGAAAATAAATCGAATTCGAGTTAATTGAACTCTAAACATGGTTCAGTTGTATTTTCTAGTATCTGCTCAACTACAATGCCAATTAATTCTTGCTGCAGTATTATTATTATTATGATTTCTAGATATTGATTTTTTATTGTGAATCCTAGAGCTAAATATGCTTTAGGGAAGAGGTGATTTTCTCTATGGTATTATATCCCATAAGTGTTTGCAGGCTATATAGTAATGCCTCGTATATGTATTTTTCAATGATTTATTTGTTCATCTAACCAATGAAATGATCCCTTGATATGTTATGCAGTATGATCAATGGTTATATGTTATTCATTTTTTTCTTATTTGATAAATTGTGTGGCCATTTTTCCTATGATGGGAGGGCTTTCTCTACTTTCACTTTTCTAAAATTGTATTGCCAATTTCCAGGTTGATGGATGGAATTCTTTACTAAATTTACTATTTTTGGTTGGTAATGGTGAGTGAATCATAGGCTTGTTAGTTTGCAAACGTTTCAAATTTCTATTTATTTTAAATAGTAGCTCAGATCATTTGGTGCATGAGGTGGCTTTATTATTCAAATGTGTCGATTTCATATATTATTTATAACACATTTTAGAATTTATTTATTAAAATGGAATTTTTTAACAGTATGTTGTAATTGTGAGTTAGTATATGATCATAATTTTTTGGGTAAACTACACGGGTGACCATTAAACTATGGTTAAAAATTATTTTGACCATTCCAACTTTTCAAATGGTTCAATCAAGTCATTCTCCGTTAATTTTTAACAGAGATAGTAATGTGTCTGTTAATAAAAATGGCATAATACACATTTGGTCCTCAATATTTAATCATTTTGTAAATTTGGTCCTAATTTTAATTTAAAATAATTAATCCTCCAACCTAGAGGTGCCACATGTCATCGCATGATTGGATAATTAGTTTTTTCAAAAGACTTTGTTAATGTTGCCAAGAGTTTTAGAACCAAGGACCATTGGTTCCCCTAAGCAAGGCTTAACTACAGGGCTAACCACTACACATGTTATTGTATTGCAAACTCATATATATTGCGTTTCTATTATTTTACACATACACATATATATTAAATTGTTCAAACAAATCTAATAAATAAATTATATTTTCACAAATATATATAATTTAGGTAATACAATATTTATAAATAAAAATGAGTTTTATATTTTTATATTTTCAAAATAAATTAAATTCTTCCTAATTATTTTTTAAATAATTATATATGAATTATATTTAAAAAAATAAAATTATATTAAAAATTCATTAGAGAATTCAAAATCACAAAAACAACTTAAATCATAAAATAAATTTATAATATGAATCTTAACTATTTGCTTTCAAAATTAAAAAAAATATTTCTCATTTGCTTTATATTTATAATCATTTAAAAATAATTGTGAAAAATAAAAAATTAATTTAATACAAAAATATAAATAATTAAACTCATTTTTATTTATAAATCTTGTATTACCTATAATTATATATATATATGTGTGTGTGTGAGAGAGAGAGAGAGAGAGAGTGTGTGTGTGTGTGAGAGAGAGAGAGAGAGGGTGTGTGTGTGTGAGAGAGAGAGAGAGAGAGAGAGAGAGAGAGAGAGAGAAATATAATTTATTTAGTAGATTTGTTTCAACAATTATATGTATATATTTGTATGTGTGAAATAATAGAAAACACAATACATATAATAGTTAAAATATTAAAATTAATTAAAAACAATCCCCAATCATGCAATGACATGTGTCACAATAATATGTTGACATGTGGCACCTCCATATTTGAGGATTAATTATTTTAAATTAAAAATAGGACCAAATTTATATAATAAGTAAGTATTAAGGACCAAATGTATAATTGTGCCATTTTTATTAATGGACACATCACCATCTCTGTGAAAAATCAACAGAGAGTGGTTTGATTGAACCATTTAAAAAATTGAATGGTCTTTTTGATCAAATTAAAACATCAATGGTCAAAATGATTTTTGACATCATCCGTGTAGTTTACCCTAATTTTTTAACCAACTTTTTATTATACGCATATCTTATAAATATATATTACTACTTGAGTTCAGAATTTTTAGGAAAAAATGAAATTTCCTTTAATCGTTGAGTTCAATTGATGTGTTATATTAAAATGACATTTATTTCCGTTACATAAGGCAAAGGTGTATTCTGTCAAGTGACTACTAAAAGTTATATTTTACAAAACAATCTCATATACGGGGATTGTTTCAGGAAAGACGGACTAATATACGGTTAATATATGGTGTTATCGGATACATTAAAAGATATTTGATAAATTCGGTTTAGCGCTACCGGAAATATCGAGTAATAATAATGTAATAGGTGGAAATCATGAAGAAATATTAAAAAAATTGGCAACCGGCAAATTTAGCTTGTCGGTTTGTGTCGATACTTTATAAAAATATATTGATCCATAACAATATAACATGTAAAAAAATGACAAAACCGGTCTATAAATGACAAAACAGGTAAAGCGCTATCAGATATGTTGATAGTGTCGATACTTTATTATAAGTATCGACACTTTTAGAATTTAAAAGAGAAGAAGTTATAGCGCTGATAAAGTGTCGATACTTTATAAAAATGTATCGATCCATAACAATATAACAGATAAAAATATGGCAAAACCGGTCTCGAAATGACAAAATCGGTAAAGAGCTACCATATATGTTGAAAATGTTGATACTTTATTATAAGTATCGACACTTTTGAAATTTAAAAGAAAAGAAGTTATAGCGCCAATAAAGTGTCGATACTTTATAAAAATGTATCGATCCATAACAATATAACAGGTAAAAAAAATGACAAAACTGGTCTATAAATGACAAAACAGGTAAAGCGCTACCGAAAATATTGAAAGTGTCGATACTTTATAAAAATGTATCGATCCATAACAATATAACAGGTAAACAATGACCAAACCGGTCTATAAATGACAAAACAGGTATAGCGCTACCGGATATGTTGATAATGTCGATACTTTATTATAAGTATCGACACTTTTGGAATTTAAAAGAGAAGAAGTTATAGCGCTAATAAAGTGTCGATACTTTATAAAAATATATTCGATCCATAACAATATAACTGGTAAAGATATGACAAAACCGATCTCGAAATGACAAAACCGGTAAAGAACTACCGGATATGTTGAAAGTGTCGATACTTTATTATAAGTATTGACACTTTTGGAATTTAAAAGAAAAGAAGTTATAGCGCCAATAAAATGTCGATACTTTATAAAAATGTATCGATCCATAACAATATAACAGGTAAAAATATGATAAAATCGGTCTCGAAATGACAAAACCGATAGTAAAAAAGTGTGCTTGTGTGGTCATTTTTATTTCATAATTTTCATTTTTTTAATACAAAAGTTGGATATTTTGAGCAAAACCCAGTAAGAAAAGAACAGAAACTTTGCAGTAACAAAAGAATAACATCGGGAAACCCACCATGTTATCAGTTTCTCAAAGAACAAAAACCCAGAAACAGGTAAATTTACAATGCAACGGGTAAAAATATACTGGTTAATTAGCAAATAAGTTTATATTATGTATCGATACTCTTTAAATATGTGTCGATACTTTTTTCCCAAAATGAAAGCACAACGTGCACGCATAAAGTGTCGATACATTTAAAATTGTATCAATCCCAAAAACATCAAAACCGATAATTATAATGTAATAGGTAAATTTACAATGTTACCGATTTAAATATACATGTTTAGTTAGAAAATAGGTCAATATAAACGCTACCTATTACATTATATAAACATTACCTAATATATTATTGTACTTGATAATATTTCCGGTTAAATAATATAACATAACCAGTCTAAATTTTAACCGGTCACTTGTTTAACAGGTAACGCCGTTTTTAGCCTTTTTTTAGACGCAGTACAGCAGAAGTTCCCCATAAACGGTAATAATTTCGTTAATTAATATTTCGATTTTCATTAAAGATGTGATTGGTCAAATATATTTTTAAAAGTCCTAAATCCAAAATTTGAGAGTAAATTATATCATTCATTATTTAACTATTTTCTCACTTGTATTTTGGTAATTAGAAGTTAATTTTTAAACTTTATGAATGAACTTTTAAATTTTAAATAGTTCATATTTTGGTTTTTTTTAATGATATGAATTTTTTTTATTATGATATCCAACATTCTTTAAGATTTTTTTTATGTAAATAGAAGTGAATTTTATAAAAGAAATAATATCCAACATTACAATAAATATATAATTAGGAGATATACTTATAACTATTAACACAAAAACTAGTCACTTGATCATAAAAGAACAATACTAGAAAGGGTTAAAGACTCATCTAAAAAACTCGAACAAAAGATAGAAACAAACATATCTAATTATATTGGCAAACGAATCATAACCAATTATAAAACTATTGAAAGACCATCGACAATCGCAAATCAAAATCGAGCATCGTGAGAAAGTTATCACCGAACGTAAATCGTGTATTCAAATCCAATCTAAGGGTCTAAAGTGTTGGATTAAAATCCATAATCATGAGAACATATTATAATATATATTGTTATCATAAAATATGGCATAAATTAAGTGACCAATAATGTTAAGGTATTAGAAGTATCATAATATTAAAGTTGTATTTATAATTTGACGATAGACAAAGTTATAAGTATTGTTAATAACTAATTATTAAATCAACATATAAAGGGGTTATAGTCCCAAAGAAATAGTTCATTTCGTATTTTCTCTTATCCATTTAGAAAGATTATATTCAAGGGAATTCTAGATTTAATGATTTCAACTTATCAAATAATTTAGTTACGCTTCTGCATCTAGTATTTTATTCTTGATTATTTAACATAATTAGATCCTGATTTATTTTCATATTTATTATGATTTGGTTCTAACAAGTTATATCATCTACTTGTCATATTAAATCATTAAAAATTAATCGATTTTAGGATTTATGATTTATGATTTATGGATTAAAATTCTCATATAATTTTTGGTATAGTTCTTGTAAATTATGATCCTATAATATCAGGGTTTATATACTGTTGTTAATATTATCGTATCAGTGTTCAATGGCATGCTATTTTTGAATATTGAATTCAATTTTATTTATTTCCAATTTGTGATGTTGATTTCGCATGATTGCAATAATGTCGAATTATTACAATTATTTCAATTATGAAAGCATGATTGTTATGAATTATGATTTGATTTCAATTTTGTTTGTCTTCAAT